CTCTTGCACTGCACGTGCGGCTCAAAATAGTATGATGCAAATGTTGTCACTTCTTCCACAATATATGCATTACAAATTGAAGCTTCAACACATGCCTTATTCTTCACTTTTTTCTTCAAATGATATAAGAACCTTGTTGCAATAGAAAGAAGTTTATCAGAACATAATATATAATAAAGTATTTTGAATTTTATTTTGAAAAAAATTTTACCTCTCAAATGGATACATCCATCGAAATTGGACGGGACCTGCAACTTTAGCCTCATAAGGCAAGTGAACTAGGAGATGCTCCATTGAATCAAAAAACGATGGAGGAAATATCCTTTCTAAATTGCAAAGAATAATTGGAATGTCTCTCTCCAGTTTCTCCATGTGTGATGCTTTTAACACTGTTGAGCAAATATCATGGAGGAAATTACTTAACTCTGTAATGGCGCCCCATACAAAGTTTGGTAGAAATTCCTTCAAAGCTATTGGAATTAGTCTTTCCATAAATATGTGACAATCATGACTCTTTAATTCTGTCAACTTGCATTCGTTCAAATCAACACATCTCCCGATGTTCGAAGCATATCCATCAGGAAACCGCATAGATTTCAATCATTGACAAACGACTCGTCTCTGCTCCTTATCCAATGTATAAACTGCTTTTGGTTTTGGTCCCCTGCTGCTTGCATCCACATCTAATGTTGGCCGATCACAAATATCTCTCATATCTTTTCTTGCATTCAAGTTGTCTTTTGTTTTTCCCGTGACATCCATCACAGTATTTATGACATTGTCGAAAACATTCTTTTCAATGTGCATAACGTCAAGATTATGATGAATAAGATGAGCTTTCCAATATGGTAGATTCCAAAATATACTGCGTTTAGTCCACTTATGTGCACTTCCGTACGCAATAGTTGTGCCATGAGGGTTTTCAACAACAGTTGGAAAGTCCTGCACTCGCTCCCATATTTGATCACCAGTCAACCTCAATGGTGGAGGAGTTCTTTCAATCCTATTCTTGATGAACTCTTTTTTATTCCTTCTGAATGTATGATTCATCGGCAAAAATTGTCTGTGACAGCCAAAATAGCAAGGCTTCTTACCATGTCTTAATCTGAATGACTTCGATCTCTCCAAACATATCGGACATCCTAAGATCCCAGCTGTACTCCATCCAGATAACATTCCATAAACTGGAAAGTCACTTATCGTCCAAAGAAGAGTAGCCTTCATTACAAATGTTTGATTAGTAGAAATATCATACGTAACGACACCTTCATTTCATAGCCGTTGTAACTCTTCAATCAATGGTTGCATATAAACATCTATCAACTTTTTCGGATTTTGCGGCCCGGTCACGATCAATGTCAAAAACATATAAGGTGTCTTCATGCACATACCGGGTGGAAGATTGTACGGAGTTAAGATAAGCGGCCAACATGAATAACTTTTCCCCGATTTTCCAAATGGGGCAAATCCATCAAGCACGAGAGACCTAACCTAATATTTCGAGGCTCTATCGCAAATTCGGGGTATGTTCTATCAAAATGTTTCCATGCCTCTCGCATCGAAGGATGACACATTAGACCCTCTTCTGTTTCATGATTTGCATGCCAAGTCATGTGTTCAAGCAGATGGCTTGAGACGCATAAAGCCTTTGTAATCCGGGGATTAAGGGCGAGATAAAACATTTGCTTGCATGGTCTACGCTTCGATTACGACCTTGCCTCCTGTTCCTGTTAATCTTGTACCTAGGTTGGCTACGAATTTGCAAGATTCGCATTTTCATCATCTCTCCAATATAACATACAACCCCTACTACATACATCAATCCTTTCAACTGGAAGACCTAAGTTATCCACTAACTTCTTCATATCGTAAAAATCACTTGGCATTATGTTATCACGAGACATTGCTTCTCGCATTACTTCAACAAAAGAGTTAAAGTAATTCTCAGACACATTATGCTCTGCCTTGATATTTAACAATCTTGCTGTCACTGATAACTGAGTATGATTGCCACAACCTGCCCATAAAGGTTCATCTGCTGCTTTCAATACTTCCCAGAACTGATTAGATGGAAACGTTTCATTACACACATTCTCATCAAAACCTGTTACTCCTATCTCTTCAAATTGTTCAAGTCTTGGAGTAAAACTAGTACTTGCATGGTTTGGATCTGAGTTATGACCAGCTGCATCAATCACCATCCTCTGGTATGGGTTCATTTGGTCATAATAGCTACATTCTTCCCTAACTGAAAATTGGTCACTTATTCGATATCATTCGTCAAATATAAATAGTTCACCATGACAAGTCCAATTATAGTAGTTCAGAGTAAACCCAAATCTACAAAGATGTTCTCTAACTATATCACATACATGAAATTTACCATTACTGCACTTTCTACACGGACACCTTAACTTATTTCCATCCATCAACTCATATTTACTACTAGCAAAGTCCAAAAATAGTTCCAACCCAGTACGAAACTCATCGGTCAATCCTCGACGTCCAGGTAAGTTCTTATTATACATCCAAGCCCTGTCTCTTTGCATTGTCTATATAAAAATAACAAAATCTCGTAAAATATTAATGCCAAAAAAATTTCGATATTAAAACCATAAAATTCTAAAAATTAAAATTTTGTTTTTGCCTAAACAATTATTTTGAAATTGAAAAAATTAAAACAATTGACTTACCCAAGTATTTGACTGAAATCTTTGTAGTACAAAGTGCTCAATTTGATGAGAATTGCAACGTTCACTTCATCCGCGAGACTTTCAAACGAATACGTACCTACAAAAAAAATTGACTTCAGATTTTATTTTTTTATAATAATTTTTTTCCCCAATTTTTTTTAATAATTTTCTTTTCGAATTTTTTTCCCAAATTTTTTTCCTTCATTTTTTTCTCCGGCCGGCGAGTTGGACCTCGCCGGCGGATTTGGACCTCGCGGCGAGGTCCGGCGGCCGCCGCTCGACCTCGCCGCGAGGTCCGGCGGCGGCCATGGCCGCTCGACCTCGCCGCGAGGTCCGGCGGCGGCCATGGCCGCTCGACCTCGCCACCCGTAGCGGCCATGGCCACCGCCGGACCTCGCGGCTAGATCGAGCGGCGGCCATGGCCGCATGGCCGCCGCTGGACCTCGCGGCAAGGTCCAGCGCCGGGCCCCATGGCGAGGCCGCTCGGCCTCGCCCAGATCTGGGCGAGGTCCAGCGGCCCCGCCCATGGCCGGCGAGCCTCGCCGGTCGCCGGTTGCCGGACCGGCGACTGGCGACGAAGTCAGAAAAAAAAAAGAGAAAAAAAAACTCAATAAAATAACAAAAATTTGAAAATAGTTTTGCCCAAATTAATCACACCACTTACCAGTAGAAAAGGTTCACCGAGATAGATTTTTGCGCGTGCGGAGAGATTTATCGAGAGGAAGGGATAACAGCGAATAGGGAGAGGAAGGGAGAACAGCTAATAGGGATAAGAGGAATTAGCAGAGAGAGAGAAATTGGGTCTACAAGTAGAGGAGAATTAGCGACGAATAACAATTCGTCGCTAATTCCGTCGCAAAATAACCACGAATTTTTTTTCGTGGTAAATTTCGTCGCAAATTAGCGACGACATTTATTTTTCGTCGCAAATTAGAAACGGAAAAACATTCGTCGGCAATTTTGTCGCAAATTAGCCACGAATTTTTTTCGTGGCAAATTCCGTCACAAATTAGCGACGAATGTTTTTTCGTGGCAAATTCCGTCGCAAATTAGCCACGAATTTTTTCGTGGCAAAATCCGTCGCAAATTTTCCACGAATTTTTTTTCGTGGTAAATTTCGTCTCAAATTTGCGACGATTTTTTTTCCGTGGCAAATTCCGTCGCAAATTAGCTACGAATTTTTTTTCGTCGCAAAATTCGTCGGAAATTTGCGACGAATTATTTTTCGTGGCTAATTTGCGACGGAAAATATATTCGTTGCAAATTGCGTCGCAATTAGCCACGAAAAATAATTCGTCGCAAATTTCCGTGGCTAAATCCTTGTTTTTTTGTAGTGTCTATTTCTTCATATCTTGACTTTTGAAAACGTGAAAAAAGAGAGGTTTTTTTTTTTTTATGAACATACTCCGCATCCATTCATGAGACCATATAACGAGATAGAAATGAAATTATATTTTTAGACAAGAAACATTTGAAGTATACAATAACTTTCGCACAGAGGAATTCTCGTTCTCATAGATATAAATATTAACATTTGTCAGGTTCTTTTGAAAAACATAAGAAAGACACACCTAGAACTCAATATGTTGACATTTTACTTAGCAAAACCTTAGTCAGAAAAATCTTGTCACGATAATCATGAAGAAACATAAAATAGTCGTGGAAGGCAAGAAATAACTTACAATTCTCCTTTTTTAAACTTTTCCATCATTAAACTTATACCTTTTTAATTTTTTTTTAATTATTTGAAAATATGAGTGAAGAAAATGTTCTTATTATTACGATTAATTTTTTTATGTAAGAGTGCCACTCGGGAACTTGATAAGAAGCGTTAATCATACTTTAAAGATTTTGTTTTCATTCGAGACATGCTAAAAAGAGAGTACAATTTCAATCTTCAGTATTCATTGATCATATCTTTATATGCTTTTCCTTTTGTCGAAAATCTTTATATGCTTATCAAGTGATCTTTTAGCACTTTTTGACAAGGTCTTGAACAATGATCTATACCTAAACATATTAATATTTTTCATTAGCTCATTTGCTCGAGCAGTCTGATCGAAATTTATAAAATATTTTCCCGGATTGCAGATTTTTCACGAAACAACCAAGCTGAAACTTCCAATTTTCTTACTATCTCCTTTTCTTTCCCCTCTCTTTTTTCCCTTTTCAATTTTCTAGCTTCTGGAGTTTGCTACATCTACCCGAACTCTCGGCCCATTTGACTTTTCAAAGTATGGGCCAAGCCCAAGAAGGCTCCTTGGGCCACGGCCCAAATCAACCGCGCGCGCGGCACCCTTATAAAAGCCGCGGATCAGAGCTAGGGTTTTGAGGATTCCTGGCTGCAATCGGCGTCGCTCGGTAGTGAAGCGGAAGGCGGCGGAAGGAGCATCGGCGCCTCGAGAGAGACGGAGAAGCGATCATGGTGAAGGGACGCCAAGGAGAGAGAGTCAGGTCTGTGATCTTGCATCCCCCAAATCGTGCTCTGTTTCTTGGTCCGTCTTCCATTGCTAAGCGAGGCCAAAATCGTTGTGTTTCTCCGTTTTGAATCGCAGGCTCTACGTGAGAGGAACAATCCTCGGATACAAGAGGTGCGTGCCGCCGTTTCTCTTCGATTCTTAGCTTTCTCGTGCTCTACTTGTTGCTCTGTTTGTGTTGGAAAGGCTTTGGGTTTGATGGTGTGTGGATACGGGTGATTGGTTTGTAGTGGAACCTTAAGTTGAGGTTTGAGCTTTCGTTCGCGGGTCGCTTCATTTCGCCCAATGTGAATGAGCTAATTTGAATGGGTAGTGGGTCTAGTGGGGATCTCCCTCGCTGAATCTTCGTGTAGGAAGGATGCGGCGGCTGATCTGAATTGTTGTTGGTGTGATTTGTTGTAGTTGTTTGATGTCAGATTGAATTAGAGGGTCTTGTATCTCTAGCTATTGGCTGGTTTAGATGAGGGAAAGGGGAAAGAAATCGTGTTCCTGGAAAAATTAAATCAAGTAGTAGCGTTTATGAAATGCAAGTTATTGGGTCTGTGGTTTTGCTTCATGCATTTCTTTTTATTGAGGGTAGTGAAAAATTTCTTTTGTTGAAACAGGTCGAAGTCTAATCAGTACCCAAATACGTCTTTGATCCAAATCGAGGGAGTCAACACCAAAGAGGAGGTAGCATGGTATGCTGGTAAGCGCATGGCCTACATCTACAAGGCAAAGGTGAAGAAGGATGGATCACACTATCGGTGCATTTGGGGGAAAGTTATCAGGCCTCACGGTAACAGTGGTGTCGTGCGCGCCAAGTTCAAGTCAAACTTGCCTCCCAGATCCATGGTAGAATATATAATAAAACCTTTTGGGAACATTGTATATTATGGACGTCTTTAGCTTGTGTATTGATTTTTCTTTCTTTTACAGGGAGCTAGGGTAAGGGTTTTCATGTACCCCAGCAATATATGAGGTATGTGTGCTTTAATTGGTGTTTGTCCAGTTATGTTTGTGAACTGATGCCTTTTCTCTTAGTTTCCATCTTTAGTTGTTTGTAACTTCATTGAGCACTTATTGTGAACTTTGGTAATAACTGTCCTTGTCATAGCAATGACTGAGCTCGAGGTTGCTACATTTTCTTTTTTCTTCAAAGATAAAGGAGTGTTGATGTTTTAATAAGTCTGTCAAATGATTGGCATAGCCATAATTGTATCTTATATTTCCCAGATGATTGCTGTAGGGGTTTTTTTTTGGTTAAACGAATAATCTCTTTACACCTTTTGATTGTTCATTCTATGAGGGAAATGCATAGTTTCATTTAGCCATGTAAGCTCATCTTCAACCACATATCATCAAATTTGCAATTTTTCTATGACGCAGTCAATTGTCAAATATCCTCTCTTAAGTTATTTGTTTCTTTTAATGGTGTTGTCCTAAATTTTTGTTAGGTCATTGGCATCCCACTATTGGGCTTGTCTTGTGCACATGGTTATTTTTCCCCTTCTACAGTGCTATGTCATCACCTTGGTTGTCTGAAATGATTAGTGCTTCTAAGTTGTGTCCATGTTTCGAAGCAAATGTATCTGCATCCTTTCTTTGTCTAACTAATTATATAACTTTTTTATTTTTATTTTTGCTATTGCAGCTTCTGAGTTCGGGTTAGTTGGTCCCTTGTTGGCTTGAGAGGATCTGCTTTTTTGTTTTCTTTGAGAGCAAGCTTTAGATTATTCTGTAGCAACAATCAAAAACTTCCGTCAATATCCCGCATTTGCTTAAAATCTGCAATCAGTACTACTGTCAACTATGAGCCTACTTTTGGGATTTGCTTCTCTTTCACCTGGTTGCTCATATTTGGTACTTGTATCTGGTGATTGTTTTGTTTGTGGTTCTTACCTTGCATGATAGGTAGGACTTGAGCTGGAGATGATCTCACTGCTCAGTTCTTCATGAGCAGTGAGATCAAGAAACTTTTGTTCATGCGCCTTAATACTCATCTGCTCCCCCAAAATCAAGGGTCAGAGCTCCAAACGCTAGTTCAATTTTCGATCAGGATAGGTATGGAGTGATCCTTGAGCACCTACATTTGCGTTGCACTCGTGTCATTTGAAAGTCGTTTGTGAACGAAACTAGCACAGTTCAAATTAGAGAAAATACTAAAGGATATACCTGAGTTTTCGCCCCGATAGAACTTCCGGTTACAACGAACCAGGATTTCACCCCTAGTTACTAGAAAGAGTGGCAGCTAAAGTGAGAATAATGCTCTGCAGTTTCTAATGTGACTTTATCTCGGGGAACTTTAGGGCTTTATAATCGCCTATAATGTCATTGAAAACGAGAAAAATGTGAGCTTGTTGAGGGTATTTAACGCTGTTTTCATAATTCATTTGGGCTTAAGCTCTCTTATACTTGCAAGGCTTGTCGCAGAGACATTTCAATAGCCAACAGATACTGATAAATGTGCATGACCGGTTGAGATCAAGAGTGTTGCCCAAACAAGGTCGTCTTCTTTACATCGAGTCGGCGACGGTCACGGCGTATTCTATAACTACATGAGGCTGAATCTGATCCTGCAACGCAAAACCACTGCATCCTAAAAGAGGAGGGAGTAAGTTGCAGTAGGGCTGTCCAAGAAGTTGGAAGATGTTCAATGCAGCGAGGTCTCAAGTGTCATTGTTCGACATCCATGACCTGATCTTCAGTCTTGGCCTCCACTTTTGGCTTTACTTCTTCAGCATCAATCTCCTCGCCAGAAAATCTGACGTGGGTTCGCCCTTAACCTTCGACCTCCACAAAATCGATGTCATCAACTGGCACAACCGCCATCTCTGACTTCCGGTTTGACTTTAGTCCCTGCCCCTGCATCATCAATCTCCTCAACAGCCATTCTGTCCATCTGAGACTTTGATTCTGATTTTGCCTTCGGCTCCACCTTTGGTTTGGTCTCTGCTTGAGGCGGCCAGTTAGTCGCATAAGTTTCATTCTCCTCCTCTTCCTTGAGCTTTGGAGCCAAATGGAACCTTACGTAACCCATGTCTACGATTTTGTATTCCACAACCCCTGACGGATCAGAGGACAAGCTGATTCTCACTTGATTAACCAACGGTGTCACTTTGGTGAATGAGTTCATGTACCGCAGTGCAAAGGTCAGGGAAACCGACTTGTTCTTTTTGATGATAGTAGCATCTTCTGGCTGCAAAAGAACACATTTAACCAATGAAGATGCATCCGGCTTTCATTCGTGCGCATATGAATCAATACCGATGAATGTGCATCGACATTTATGTACATGCAGAGAATTACAAAGTAGCACCCATATGATCCTTAAAGCTCATTTCTCATGTTAAAAATGTTTTCCATTGGCAGAATTTATGCAGATAGCAGAGAGACTAAACTAACCTTGTCCACAGAAGTGTCCTGTCTGCAGATGATATTGGCAGTCTCGATATCACCTCTAGTGGAAAACTTCACGCCTTCTTTTGTCACAAATATTACGACTGCAACAACCTTAGGTCAATCAGCACAAACGAGAACTCTATACGATAAAAGTAATACGTTGATGGCTCCTTTTCTGTTAAAATGAAAAGACAGCAGCAATGCAACGTTAGACTTTTAGTATCTCATCAGTTCAGTTGAGTTCACCAGGAAGTCTCGTTCACGCGTGGAGAGAGCGTCTCATCAACTGTGAAAATGCCGCTTTACAATCTGACGGGAGAAAATAGAGGACAGAGAATTAGTCTAATACGCAACCGGTCATCCTTAACTAAGTAGAAAATTTCCAGCCAAATCACATTATTAAAGTACTTCGAGCTACTAGGGTAAGCAGCAACATGGACAACAAAGCAAAATAAGACGAGGGTGTTTGTCACAATCCTGGAAAAGGCTATGACTTGTACAAATTTTTATTTCTCCTAATGACAGAACATGCATAAGACTTGACAAATTGAAGTTCAGCCAAAAGGGAGCTATCTCTACTTCAATTTCGGATACAAAGATTCTAGCAAGAGAATATGTCAACCCCTTACTGGTTCCCCGATGCTGCCGAGATCTCTACATATCCTAGCAAACGTGGCCGCCGACATCCTCACAATCGATTGGTAACCCGTATTTGGCACACCAAGATGTTTGCTGTCGATGTCCATCAGCTTCATCTCGAAATCGGCAATCTTGTCTTGGTCTTTGTTTCATAAATAACCAGGAAATTATCCAAGTAAGTAACAGTATTCACACCATAGTAGAACAGACCAAAGTTGGGTAATTTCACTGTCGCAAGCACTGGAGCAGTAAAGCTTATGAAGTTTCACTTGCATGTGTGGAATTTTGCTTTTGAATTACCAATGAACACATCGAAATCTATAAATGGTTCTGCAGTCTGTTCCTTCTTCGTGATGAAAAAGAAGAGCGTGAGCTTTTTACAATGAAGTTCTGCCTCAAAGCTGTTTATTTCACGATGAGTCTCCAGTCAAGTGTAAGAAAACCTTCCGTGCACAAAAAATCTCAGCTTTCTTTGATTCACGTCACCAGGAAATTATCCTAAATCAGCAGAAATTCTTCGAAGCAAAATTTATAATCACATCACTCCGTTCTTCTTCATACTGGGGAGCTCGAACATGAAAGCGATGGCGTCGCCACCCCTGTTGCCGGCGCACCTGAGCATCCTGGCCATGTTGCCGAGGCTCATGCCCATGGTAGAGGTTGCGGTCGCACACAGCGGTACCGGTCGAAGCCCTCGGAGCGGGAGGAGGAGGGAGACGAGGGCCGCGTGGCTCGAGTCCCATGGCCCGGAGCGAGAACCCGGGTCGCGGAGCAGTCGAAGTTTAGCCTCGTCGACCGATTCGAGGACCTTCTTCAGGAGAACCCCTTGCGCTAGCCTGAGCTCGATCGATTGATCTTCAATGGCAGTAAACTTCTCAGAGAGAGAGAGAGAGAGGAAGTTTTAACTGAGAAAAAATGGCGCGAAAGAGTTGGTTAATGAACCTGTGATAAAGTCACCGGGTCAACCTGTCGGCCCATATGAAAGTCTTCCTCACGGCCCAATTGCGCGTCGGCTTCTTCGCTGATCGACTGATCGATTTGCTGCCTGCAAACCGCGAGACATGAATCCTCCGGCCGCGCCTCCCGTCTCGAGCTCGCCGTCGGCTCTCCATGGCCGTCTCCTCCAGTGAGCTCCGACATCGAGCTCTTCATCCGTTAGTGCTTTGACTGCTGTTTTTTTTTGGCGCGATTCATCCGCACTTCTTTGTTGGTTTTTCTTAGGTTATCGGATTCGATTCTGTCGTCCCTGTCGAGGACTCGCGGCGACGCGCCTCCGGAAAGCTCGGGCGTCTCCGTCAAATCCGTGCTCGAGTCTCTTCTCCGGCGCGAGACCGCGGTTCAAAGCCCTAGCATCGATGAGCGCAAGCTCCGCGCTTCGGTCAGGGACCTCGCTCTGGCCTGCGCGCTTCTGGTCGCCGCTCGGTGCTCGAAGCACGATTCGCTGTCGTGGATAGTGCGAGACCTCTCGGCGCTTGCGGATTCGGCTTTCGGCGACCTCGCGAAAGCTTACGCCGATTATTTCGGAGAGGACAGTGCGAAGAGGGCTGATGAACTGGGGATCGATTATGGCTTTGGGGTACCCGCGGAGAAGAGGCTGGTAATCGAGTTGATGCCCGAGGTGTTGCCCTTGTTGAAGGAAAGGATTAAGGAGAGCTCGATCGATAAGTCCGACGAGTCCGATGAAGCCTTCGCTGCATCGGCCAAGGTCCCTGTTGGTTACGCCATCGTGGCTGCTTATCAGCTTAGATGGTTTGTTACTCAGGTCTGAGGTGATTTGTCTTTATGTTTGTTGGTGGCTTTGATAATGTTTGAGTATTTTCGCGTGTTTATGATCGTTACTCGTCTTTGGCTTCGCGTGCTTGTAGGTTGATCATCCTTATCTGGGAAAACTGTGTAATTTGGTGGTTCCTTGTGCTCTAACCGCGCTCGATCACTGGTCACCTATAGTTAAAGTATGTGCTTCTTCCATGCATTTTTTATTGTTGCTTTCGGTGATTTATGGTGGCGTTAATCTTGTTTCCTTAATTGATAGACTTGATTGATGTTTGGAGTTATCTCTTGAGATTCATTTCTGCCTTGTACTGATTAAATTTGCAAACTTGAATTTAATCAAAGCTGCTCAAGTCATGGATGCAGACCTTTTGAAAGTCTTTTCTGTTGCTTACCTTCAGGGTCAGGGCATGATTAGCTTCACACATCTTGCGAAAAATGTGAATGCTGCTGAACTTGGTTGGTATGAAGATCCGATTCTTGATGCGTGCTGCCAAAACATTGCTTCTGATGATGATATTTGGCCCCATGTGGTTGAGATGTCGGTTCTTCTCGTGACCAGTACTCAACGAAACAACCCTCGTAGCCCTTGGTAAACTTTTCCTTCTTTATGTTACATGGTTAAAGAAGATGCCAAAAAGTTATTCGAAAAGAATTTCTCGTCGTTGGGAGTTAATATAATGTGATAATCATATAATGTACCGAGAGTTTGGGCCATGCATTTTAGTGTAGATTTTGTTCAGTGGGGATCAAAGAAGTCCTCTTCTCGTGAAAAGTATGAATATAAAAGGGGCTTTTATTATCATACGCAAGCAATCCATGTTGGAAGCTTTCTTCTAGACTCCTACCATATTTAGCTTGAGGACAAGTACATTTTCAAGACTTTGGAAATTGGATCACTTAGGCATGATATATACTACTTTGAATCAGTAAAATGTACAAAATCTTATCAATTGTTCAGATTGTTGCGTGTATTTTCTTTGCAGTTATTCGAGAATTGTACGTTCTAATTCAATTTTCTGGTAGGTTTGAGAGATTACTAAATGAGATGTTAAGTCATTTGGAGCGCCAACCAAGGAATAAGGAGTGTCGCATAGCCTGGCTTGAGTTAATTGAGCCACTCCTCAATGTTGTCGGTCTTGTGTTATTAGCTCATTTTAGACGCCTTTTTCCTCTATTCTTTCAGTGGATGCATGCTGATGACGATGAGACTGTTCTACTGGTAAGAAATATAGATGCTTATATGGGTATCTTAGATTTCTTTTGGGGGTCTATATTGGCCAAAAAACTGGAAATCAGTGATGTTTGTCTCAGAATTTTCTGTTCACCGGTCTCCTTTAACTTGTTTGACTATGGTGGATCATCTCTTGCAAAATCTTAAATTTTATAAGCATTTTGAGGACCATTTTGCTCTTCATGTTGTTTATCTATCTGCCATCAAGAGGAAAATGTTGGAGTTTCAAACCTTCAAATCCATATCCTGTGAAGTTTGTTGCCACATAATGTGTTAAACCTCAAATGTTCCACCTTCTTTGTATAAGTGCCCCATGAAAATTTAATTGTTCTACTAGGTTTTACTGATCCTTTCTTTGACAAAGTCATTGAGTTACTGACCAAAAATGATTCTATGAATGATGATTGGTTGTTATTTTTTGGTCGGTTATGAATAATGATCGGTTAATTGGTCATAATGGTATCATATAGCCATCCTTATCAGCACGGTATTTTGCAAATGCCCCAGACAGGACAGTATACGGTGATCTAGTCACCTGGCTTGCTAAACTGTGAAACAAGCTCTGGCTTGGTAACCGTAGCGATTTGAAATAATCACCTCTGGAAAAAGTGCTGATGTTGCACAGTGCAATATTTTTCCTTGTTTTCTTAATTGTTGATGCATCATTCGGCTGTCAACATATCTTTCAATTTACTATTAAATTTGCACTCTCATCCTGCACAGGTTCTTCAGAGGGCTCATACAATTATAAGGCTAACATGGATAAGGAACACGCCATTTGTTGACAGGTAAATTACAACTTGTTTGATTAACCTCATATACGCAGTGGAGATGCTTTGGTTTCTATGATCAGCACTTTTGCATATAATATATTAAGTTTCCAATGAAAAATGGACGATGAACCTAATTGATCTGTATGTGAATGTATTTTGATGACGTTTCTGGAATCACGCTAACCAAATTAAAGATGAAAAGCAACTGTCTGCTTCATGCATAAACCTTAGGGGTGTTAGTGTGGATTCCTATTTTCCTAGAGATTGCTTAATGTGTCGTATTGCCCCGTCATTATTTTTCCTTTATCGTTACTTCTTCTTTGGAAGTTGACCTTTTTCATCAATTTCCTCCTGAGCAGAGTTTTGTCCCTCTGTCCCCTTGGAAATTTTCGATGCACTTCAGTGTGCATTGTGGACATTTCTATAGGATCAAGTATTTACCCATGAATTTCTTTGGTGTTTTCTCATAAATTATTCCTTTATTGCTTCTAGATTAGTGGATGAACTTCTTGTATTATACAAGGAGGCAGCATTGAGAAGAAAGCGAGAAGAAATAAGGACACACATTCTACAGATACTACTCTTGCTTCAACAGTAAGGATATCTTAATTTTTCCACTCATCCTGATGACCTTGACAGACTCATACTTAGCTTTCTATGTCTTTGTGGATGCGAAGATGCAAGGGCATGCAGTTTGAAGCAGCCTGGGACAAGCACAGGAATGATCCAAACTTGGTGAAGCTTGGCTCATCTCTGAGTGGAACAAGGCAACATGTGGTTGACTCTGGCTCTACTACCGCTGTGTCTGAGTAGCAAATCAACAAAAGCTTTCAACATGTCATTCTTTACAAGGTCAAACTAGACATATGGCTGAACTGTCTTATTTTCTCTATCTAGATGAAGTGGGATAACATAAGCTGTTGTATATGAATCATGAAGTTTTTGTTTGACTATCTGATGCAGGTAATGCAATGATTAAGTCGATGAAAAGTTTTGAGTTCAGATGCATGATAACCAATGCAATCAGACAAGGTTGGACCTCTTTCGTTTTCACCTTTTTTGCCCTACCTAATTGTGTCTCCAATTTACTCATTCGGTTCTTATTTTTCCTGTCTTCTAGTGGTTTTTTGGCATGCTATGGTCACAGGTAAGGTATCCATGGATCTCCTTCAGCTACATCTGCAGCTGCAGCTGTGTTGTGAGCTGACAGTGCTGGACGATCACCCCTCAATTGGCCACAAATACATATCAGATTACATGGTCTAATATGCTCACTATTCCAATCATCATTTATGTGTTAATCACTGGTTCTCACATGTTCATATGTGCGCTTGCATTGATCTTGGACGAGGAGGTCTTACACGAGAACCTATGCTGATGCTCAAGTTGGCAATGTTGTGTTTCAGTACTGTCCATCTCTCGAATTACCTCTACCTATATATATTGGTTGTTTACTAGTCAATGTGAAATCTTCTTTTTTAAGTAGTTAGCTCCAGAAAAACCAATTCAAGACGAGAGAATTCCCGGTTTTACACTCCTTTCTCTTTGGGTGTCAACAGGGTGTTTGGGGCTCTTTGAGCATCTGACTGATCTCGATCAGGTGTGACAATCTTCCCAAAGTTTATGGTAATTTTGGAATCGCCTGTAAAATTAGTAGCTGAGTTTGATGCATCGCTTATGAGCTTGTGTTGGTTATTCTTCTTTTGTCTAGAGAAGTATCTTCCGTAAATCTTATATTTAAGGAACGAGATAGTGCTGATACTGAGAGCCCGAGACGAAAGGAAGTCCAGACTCTTGATGAGCTTAATTACCTTCCTACAGCTTCAAGCTCGAGAGAAGGTCCAAATATGTTAAAGCATAATCCAGCTTCTTGACCACTGGTTTGAATTAAAACGCGTACTTCAGTGAAGATAGGAGCCGAGTTCCTTTGCAGGCGATGCGTATGAACCTTCTATGGCTGCCAAGCTCAACCGAATACGTTGTGCCTATTCACATGTCACGACATAAAGATAAATAATCTCTGTATGATGAAATTATTAATGCAATTCCGAGGTTTAATTCTAATCCTTACGGCCTCGAAGAATTCGATCGCTATGTTTCTGAATGGATATACTGTCACACATATTATATGTAACATAAATTTGTCCGGAACACTGGAAGTTGGGGAATTGGCGTCAGGTTGGAAGCAAATTCTATGATGTCTTGTTGTTTCGCTTAGTGCCGTTGGGTAATCAGATTCTTAAAATTCATTCAGTCACGATAAAACCATGTCTCTTGCAGACAAGCCTAAACAATCCAAAATCGTCTGAACTATTTTATCGAGACTTTGTCTTGACGTTGCTCTCATAGTATGCTTGCTTTGCTCTATGTTGCTACTAGGGAGTGACTCTCACTTCCATGTGTCTGTAGTTTTATAAAATAAGAGATCTCACGATGTGTATATATATACCCATCATGGGGATTTCAGCTTTATCACTCTCGAGATGGAACCAGAACATAGGGGGAGGCTGAAGGAGAGATACAAGGGAAAATCTTGAAGAATTTCATTGGGTATGGCCCTTTATTATGGGGCAAATTGCATGGTATGTGGAAGCCACGAGGGTCTTGTTGGTTCTTGTGGGTGAGGCATGCCTCAATATCGGAAGCATTCGAGGGAGCAAAGTTCATGAAATTGGACCGGCAGAGTTCAAGAGATTGACATTGCATGTGTGGTTTTCACTTTCATTTGGGTGCTCTTTGTTTGCCCCAATGTGTATCTACCTGCTATTTAGTTCTTTGTTTTGCTATTTTGGCTGCATTGGTAAAGGAAGAATCGTGTTCGTGAGTTTAATGTATTATAGACGGATGGATAAAGTCAATCATGTCAATAATAATACATAAGTTTGTACTCTTTTGATTTTTTTTCGCAGCATGCTAGATTCATCATGGATGTTGATGAAATCTTTCGTATTGCGAATGAATTGTGTTGTCGCGTTGGTAATTGATCTACACCCATTTTTAAAGTGGAATTGAGTGATCTACGTGTATTTAGTGATTCTTCTTTTCACCGCATGTTGAGATTATCAACAAGTAGATTCATAATGCACGTCGAGCGTATGCCTTGGCACTCTCGTCACGTGAAGAAGGGTTTCATAAACAAAACTTTAAATATGAATGTTATTACTAATCACGTACTGTATAAAAGTTACAACCAAGAGTATCAACGTGTGATGGGAAAACAAACAACATAACAAAAAGAGAATAATATTAGGGAAAATTATCAAAAAAATCCTACACCTATTGTAATTGTGTTAATTCAATCTTGAACCTTTTTTTTTTGCGCCAATTGAGTCATAAAATTTTTGCATTTGTTTGAATTCAATCAATCCGGCTAATTTTGGCTAGTTGGTTCTGATGTGGCAGGGCTGGCGCTGACGTGGACAATTTTAAATATTTTATTAATTTTTAATTTTTTTCTTCTTTTTTCTTTTTTTTTTTCCTTCCTTCTTCCTCTGGCTGGCGAGGCTCGCCCTCACCTAGTGACTGGCAAGGCGAGCCCCCACCAAATCCGAGAGGGCGAGGCTGACCTCACCTAGAAATGGTGAGGCGAGCCTCACCAGGGGCAAGCGAGGTTAGCCTCGCCAATGGCCGGCGAGATTGACCTTGCCGACCCTCGCCTTTGGCCGGTCGCCTCGGTCTGATGACTAGCCAGAGGAAGAAGGATGGGAAAAAAAAAAGAAAGAAAAAGAAAAGAAAAAAAGGGAAAAGAAAAAATAATTCGAAAATTCGACAAAAGAATTGCCACGTCAGCATCGGCCGGCATCCACATTAGCACCGGCTGGCCAAAATTGGCCGGATGGTCTAAATTGGCACAAATACAAAAGGTTTAGGATTAAATTGACACACTTATAATAGGTAAAAAACTTTTTTTGGTAATTTTCCCATTAATATTAAGGTTAGAACTTTTCATTCCTTATCCAATACCGTGTACTAGGCAATCAATTTCCATCGAAAGCATAAACTACGCTCATGAATTCATGCCGGTCACGTACCTTTACAGTAGGATTAAAAAAAAAAAAAAAGCCTTCGACAATCAGAGATAAATCTCACATAGCAAACAAATGCGATTTCACCTTACAACGGTAGAGAGACTGTAATAACTTCTCTCCCTCGAGAGAGAGACTGTAATAACCTCTCGAACAATAACTTGCAATTCCGCGATAAGGGTCTTGGCATGATCACCATGATGTTCTATTTCTCTAAGCAAGACACAGGGAGAGCAGCTTAACCAAGCAATTTCGAGCTCAACGGCATTTTTAGTTTGCAAAGCCAACCAATGACAAGGCGTGCAAACAACCATCATGGCAACGGCTGATCAACACTAAGAACCATTTCAACACCATACTCGGTCGCTGTCAAATAGTCTTCAACATAGCTTCCAATGCAGGATTAGTGCAAGGTCCTGTGGAAGACTTCCAATGACATGGATCTCGCAGCCACCCAAGCCAGGTCGGCCCGGGGTTAGAACCGAGCGAGCATGGATATGCTGTAATTGTTCTTTGGAAAAATTGAGACTCGTGCATGACTTCCACTATGCAGAGCATCTCAGGCAAACCTCCACTGGCAGCTTCCATCGCAGTAGGACAGTTCTTTAATCCGGAGGAAGGGCAAAAGGAGTTCTCACCTCTCAAGTTGTTTCCCTCTAGCTATTCTCGAAAGGTTGCTTCTTTTAGTGATAGAAAATGGTAAGAACTTTCTAAATGGGCTTGATTTTGTTCATTCTGATGACTGACCTTTGACTGGTGGACTTGTTAAGCAGGACATATTCCTGGAGGAGGATCATCATATTGCTTTTAATCTGTCCTTTGGAATTAGCTTAGGCCTCTTGCCTGTTACGTTATCTTTGAAAACTGCGGGTTGTGGCATAAAAGATTCCGGGCTTCCAGTTGAAGAGGCCGGTGATACTGAAAATAGCAGTATGTTTCCTTTCCTTTTAATTCCTAATACCGTTTTACTATGTATGTTTCTTTAAAATCTTTTCACCATCTGCGTGGTAGTGAACTAAATTACCACAGCAACCTCATGACCACGTAATCTGGCGGCCATGCAGTGCTAGAAATCTTGAGCTGAGCCACATTATTTACAAGGTGAAGGTTTCCAAAAACTGTTCTGCTTTACTACGTCAACAAACATGATGTTCGAATATCTTTTGGTTACTGTACCGATTGATTTTACTGGCAAAATACGAGTCAAGTTTGGATTGACCCTTTAATGTTATTTTAAAGAACCAAATTTTTGTCTTAATATAGAATGATAGACTAATGCCAGCTCAAATACTGATTTTATATTTTTGGGAGGGGGGCGCATTGATGTTGTATCAGTTGATGTTACTGTCATGACATCCTAATGATGTCTACTCTGGTTTAGAGCCTCAGTTCTCTCTTTCATCAACTTAGAGCTTTGTAAGTTATTAGGTTGCCGAAATAGATTTCATTGTGTTTATTTTGGAATTTTTACTAGCTGAGGCTACAATATGTTTAATAACAAACACACATTAGGACAACTAGAAAATGGTATAGTATTAACATCAAGATAGTGCCATAAATCATACTTCCCTTTCATGAATCTCTAAGAACTTTAAGATGCTCCATAGATTTGTTGGAGAGATTATTTGAGATTGCATTTATCAGTCTAAATTTATCCAATTGCACCCATATGTTTCTTAGCAATTCCTTACGTCACAACTGATATTTTACTTTCAAACTATGAATCAGCAAAAATACAGATTTCTATAATAAGCTGCAGCAGTTTGTTGTTGAGCGTTTGTGTTTACGAGGGAGTCATAATATATATTAGCTCTAGAGTGTATTCTCTTCCAATGCATTTCGAAAATTCTCCAAAATATTTGTTCTTTTCAAGGACAGAAATATCACCAGATACCCAAATAATCATGGAAATCAGGCTATCATGATTCTGCCTACTTTCTTGGTGAAATATGGTCGGTACGAGTCATGAAAGTGTTTATGTCAACCAAGAACTATAATCCGCGGCCTCCAAATGCTTCTTTCTGGGCTTAGATGGTAAAATTTTAGAACTATATATGACCTTTTTGATTGGAATGATGCTAGCTGTCGAGTACTATGGTGCTTTAATTCCGTTAATGTTGAGTTAGCACTTAAGTTTTTTGTTTTTCAGTTGGGGTATTCGTTTCCAGATATTGCAGGACTTTGCAAATTGCACTGCTTCCCACCAGTAGCTTTTGCTTGGGATGTTACGGCAGGACTTCATGTTATTCTAAATTTTCACACTGAGACAATTGCTGTGGATTCCTTACCAGCGCTTTGGAGTTCAACTCAACAGTCTGATAAAACCACTATACTGCTTCTGATATGTTGGGACTCTCATACTAATGTGCTGCGACTGCGTGAGAGTTACTTCGGAAATGTAACTAGCTACACTACAGAAAATACTATTCTTTGCTTT